TGTTTCCCTCGCTCCTTTCCCCCGGCCCACCCCAGCCCAGACCGGGTCTTTACAATCTAACAAACCCACCGGAAGTCGCACCCCCAGTACCCCGCCCCCCGGACCCGGACCCGATTCTGCGGGGAACCTCAGGCACTGCACTCACTGGGATTACGGGGATCACTGGGAAACGGGACCGAAGCGAGTAGTAATATGGAATCCAAACCAGACCGCCGCGGCGGGCGGGAGTTACGTTGCACGGCGTTTTCCTTGCGCAAGGGTTTTGCGGGGCGGATATGTAGAGGAAAGGAATGGAAGGTAAGTGGAAGCGTGAAGAAAAACTGTCACTGTGTCTGCCTAGGTACACCCGTAGGCATGCGCGCGCGGAACAAGGAGAAGCGGACATGGAAGTTTCCATGCCGTGGAATCTGGGGGGGTTCCAATCTGTAACGCGCCGAAGGGTCGGAGACTCGGAGGTTTGGGGGGGACTTAAAGGGATGGAAATTGGTTGGATGACTGGATACGTGTAGGGATACCGACGTTGTGCTGAGTGGATGAAACTACCACCATGTACGGCCGGTATTAAATCTATTTAATATCTTTGATGGTTTGTTATGGAGGTTCATAAAGTCCACAATGTCGCAAGGATCGATGAGTGACAGCCTAAAGCTGCTTCTGGGAAAAGTACCATGCAGATAAAACACATACACACAAGATGTGTTTTGACTAGGTGATTTTCGCAAGAATGGCCAGTCTTTCTCGGTCTGGCCCGTTTCGACTCTCTCTTCTTCTTAGTCTGCTGAAGATCACAGATCAAAGTCTAGACTTGATCTGCCAAGTTGACCGTCACTACCTAGGTAGGTACGATATATGTATCGAGTCAAGGGAGGGACTGCATGTGCCTAATGAGGAAACCGTTACCAAAAGATAGGGCTAACGATATTCGTTTTTGGTCATACATCGATCTGTACCTACCTAGGTTGATCAGGAAAAGCCTGTAGTTGCCTCAATTTTCATGTCAAGTCTTATTGTCGTCTAGCATATGTATTGTGTTGCTTAGTACTAGTCTAGAAGCGGGTCGTCAGCAACTAACTGGATGTAAGTAAGTGATCATCTGTGTGTATGTTCAACGTAACGCAATCTCGGCTACACTTTAACGAAAAAAAAAAAAAAAAAAAAGCAAGCGTGTTACATCACACCTATATACAATAGATCGATTCTAGGGCTGACCAATATTACCTGGTAGGTAACAATTGCAAGCCCTCAAGTTCCCTAATCCATCTCTATGCAGCATCTGAAACGAAAGTCGCAAGAGTGCGCCGCCTTATGTCCGAGACACAGCGATGAGGCTCAATTCGACAATCAACAGGTGGAATTAAACCCCCAAGAAGAAAAGCCACAGTTACACACACACACACACACACACACACACACACACACACACAAGGCATGCATGCATGCATGCGTACAAGACATTCGATGGATTTTTTATACAAGAAATCTGGAAACGTCGCTAAAAGAGAAAAGTGTCTACCTACTGCTTGCTTGCTTCCATGTGTCTTTGTACTATTCTTGTGTTCTGTTACACAACAAAGAGTAAAACTCGGAGTTTGTCCTTTGTGTGTAAGAGATCATTACCAAGTGTTAGTGCATGAATTGTTATAGGGAGTCTATAAACCAAATAAGTAATGATATCAAGTCGTAACGAGACCTTGTTACACGGAGTCTGATTCAGGGACTTTGCACCTTACAAGTGTATAAGTGCAGTTCAAAATGTCATAGTGTACGGTGGTTGAACATAATATCCCTTTTGGGAAGTCCGGTGGAGTACCTACTCGAGTCTTCTAAGAGCACAGAGGCACCATTGGTTGTATCGACTATTCATTCCTTAATCATTCCTATCTTTGCGGTACCTTCTCACATTCCTCCCTTTTTTGAGCCCGTACCAGGGTATTGTTCCCTTCAAGACCACACTCTGGTCTTTCCTTCTATAACAGACGCTAAAAAACCATTTTGATCATCCCACCAAATGAGAAATAACAAAAAGAGAGACGCGTAACCATAACCTCCTTAGAAACCCGTCCTTTGTCCGTCTAACCAGGTATATCCATCAAAGCCGTGAAACTCCATCTAGCCAGTGAATGTTGTTTGTCTTTTTGAGCGCGCGTGCTACAACGTGTAACCATGATCCATCGCAAAAGGTCGAGGGAAAACAAGTCAGAGGGGAAAAGGGGGGACCAGTAATCACCCGTGGATCCGGCCGGTAACTAGGCAAGGTTCGTTTTGGAAGTGTTGATAGCCTGTTCTTCCCCGCAAGAAGCATGACTGAGTGACTGACAGCGGGCGGCGCAAGATCCAACACGGCGGAATCCGGGGTCCGCCATTTCCGCTAGTTGGATAAGGGTGATTCCGGAGATAGCACACTCTTCTCAAGCACGCACCCGCCGCCCCTAAGAGCGGCCGTAATGCCATACCTGTAAGTAAAGTGTATATGTGTGTTCACCGTCTGTTGTCAGTGTGAATAAGGGAGAAGCATGGAATATCGTAAAATGAACCACGAGGGTGCCTGAGAATAATGGGTGTGACGACGGCCGTTAGGCTCTCGACTACTTAGTATTGTCCGCCGGTTTCCGATCGAAGGTTGCCAAGAAAAAAAAACAAAAAACAAAATCATCGCGCATCGTCTTGGGGTTCGTTCTTGGCCGTGGGCAGCGTTTGTCCCGTTGCCTGAAGACACTGATCGGGCAAGTGCCAACAACCTGCCGTAAAAACGATTAGCCTCCAAACGGAAACCATCATTGGCAGAAACGCTTTGCACTTTATGCAACTTACCGATACTTGCAACAGAACAACCAGCCACAGCCCCAGAATAATCCTCAAAGCACACCTATCAGAACCATTTTCCAAGGGACATGGCAAAACCCTCAGTGGCCGACATCTGTGCCGGCCAGGTACAGAAGCGGGCTTAAGCAGACCCTGGGATGCAGGGACGGCACGTTCTCATCTTGCAGTACCGGCACTCATAGATGAAGTAATGGGGCCCTGACTGGCATAGCTGACATGTCCATTGGATCAAGCTACTCTCTGACTTGATCAGGACAAAGTGGTGCGCGCAGCCGTTGGAAAGTGCCATTATGATAGTTCGACGGTGCTGTTTGGTCACCCGAAGAAGGCCAGACTAACTTGAAGCCACCTGGTTGGTTGCCGAAATGGATATTCGAAAATTCAATACCCGTATAAAGCTGTCAGTGCCGGTAACGTTGGGCCTCGGCGTTATTTGAGGACTCTTGTCTGGAAAGTGATGCACTCTGATAGGACGTTAGAACCAGAGGGAAAGCCAAGAAAAGCCTGTTTGGGTGATAGGAGCGTTGGGATTGCCCGATTACGGAATTCTTAAGATCTCTCTTACCAATTTCTGTAGCACAGCGACCTATAGCTGTCTTTCTGGACGATGAAGGAAAATAAGTGTACGTGGGTGAGTTCGAGTGAAGTCGAGATGAGATCTGGAAGGTTTTTGGAAGGCTGAGTAGTCACTGGTGATTTCTGGACTCAGGAGGAAGAATGGAAGGGAGGATCCAGGCTAGATATAGATTCACAACCGAAGCAGCTGAGGTTGGAGTTTATGGTAGGTTGGAGCCGCGAACGTTTGGTGAAGGGCAACGGCCGGTGTTTGTAAAACGTGAAGCTCAAGTTTTTCGACGGGTATCGAACTGGAGTAAACGGAGATAGATGGGTCAGGCCTTTGTTCTTGTGTTTTTAGCCGTTTGAGAGTTCGAGCATGCTTCTATAAAAGCTGGTAGCTTGACACAGTGACCCGTCAAATCCAAGGTGGGAAAAGTTGGGACGACCCAGCGGCATGACGAAGCGTGGTTTCCGAATCCGAGAAGAAGGGGTCCTTGGTCTGTCACCGTTCCATAGACATTACACGGGCCCGGAAAATGGGGATGGGGGAGATAGAGTAGCCGGCCTCGAAATCATTGACCTCAGTGTAGGTAGGGTAGGTCTGAGTAGCAGGGCGAAGTAGATGACGGCCATGTCCCTGCCTGTTCCATCCCTGCAGTGAGGATCCCGTCATATTCTCTTTCCACAGGCCTGGTACATATAACCTGACTGGAACCACAGATGTTCGGGCCCTGGACATCCAACGTCAAGAGCCGGAGACCGGGGCAGGCCACATGGGGAGAAACAGCAGAGTGATAACATGGAAAGGGACTAAGTAGAGGTCAGTTAGCACCACCCGGCCCCACGAGTTTCCAGTTTCCATGTAGCAGATTCCATGTCTAGCTCCACTAGGTGCTGCCCTAGCGTACCACCCCTACACTAGGTACCTAGGCCGGAGGGTGCTTGTTAGAGGAGAGGTACGTAAAGGTGTATTGGCCCTGTCAAGTATCTCTGGTACCGGGTACATGCACTGTTTCCAGGTGGCTTGAAGGACTCGCTATGTCCACTAGAAGTTAGGGTACAACTGGATATGTAAGGCGCTGGAGGCATCTCGATTCAGTGTTGCATGTGGCATCTCTTGGCAGTTTCCATGTAGCATGGTATACCACCTAGTCACCGTTACGGCACTTGTAAGTGGTGCAGGGTCATGGAGATGCATGCCCACAGCTCAGGCTTAGCTTATGGTAGTGGGTGGTGGGGTGTTGCAAATGTCTTTCCAGGCCTAGTTTCCCACAGCGTCACGGTGTCGCGTGTTTCTCGATAATCACATCCTTTTCCTGGTACCTGGTGTGATTGAGGACGACGACAACAACGAAACAGATCCATGACAGCCAAACAACCACCTCCCGCCGGTTTCGGCACCCAAATCGGCACTAGCCACAGTTGAAATGACATCCATTGGATTGAAAAGGGTTGGCGACATATCAGCCAAGTCGGAGACAGCAGGGCATTCCCGACGGCAACAAGACCGCCAACACTTGAACCGGGCAGAACACCGCACTTGTCGTGTCTTTGTTGACGAGGGAACCCTGTCCTTATGCCCTCTGTAGCCTTGCTGAATCGTGTCCCTTGGCAGAATCATGACCCTTTTGGGGTTACGATTGGGTAGCTTGGGGCTACTCGGAGCATCACGAACCGACTTATCGAGGCGGATCAGCCGTCAACCTTGGATCCGGGCCGTTTCCTTACGCCGTGGCCTTGAGGACAGGTCTAGGAACCTAAAAAGGGTGGAAGACTTGACAACTGATCCCTCACGCTTTCCCGAAGAGCTGGGAATGCGCAACAGCCCGAGGAAACGAGGGATTAGCAGCAATCCAGCAGCCAGCCAAACGGTCAAAAAGAGGGAGTTCATTGGCTCATCCGGTCCTCACGCCGCAAACGAGGAGGGTGTCTCGGATGGGAAAATCGACAACCAGCCTTGGGAAACACTCGGGCGGCAGTTTGACGCCACGGAATGCTGCACGACGTCTATGGAGCGACGTTGTACGAAACAGACCAGATATCCCAGCTCCGTGCTCCAATGTCTCCGACCGGCCACTGGAGCAGACGACATCTGGATGAGGCAGTCGGCCGGCGGTGAGTTCGACCATGTTGCATCCCATATGGACAAGCTGGGACGCCGTCTCCTTTGCTTTGACCGGTTCGACAGGGGGTCGGTGTGAAGGGGGTGACGAAGTAGACGGGAGTCCTCAGCAGCCGAGAAGCCTTCACAGCCTACATGCAGCGGCACTCGATGGGTATCAGGATGGCCAAAAGACGGGGGTAAAGCGCAATATTCACTAGCTCCATGGCCCAGTGTCCACCAATCCCCCATCATAGGGTCGCAGGATGGTTTATGGGATGTGCCCAACTCGAGTCTAGTCATTGGTGGCCAATCGAATGGGACGGGGGAGGATGGTGTGCCCAGGAACGTGAAAGAGTCACTCGATGATCTTCTCTTGTCTCCGCCACCCGGTCCGTAGAGGTCATCACGACCCTAGAGGTCCTGAGAGATGGTCGACTGGCAATGGCGCTTGGGTTCCGTTGAAGGCGGAATGTGGAGAGGCGCCGGGTGAAACGGCTATGAAGATATGGTGCTTGTGTGATGGCCCACGGTGGCTTGTTTTGGGTCTTGGAAATAATCCACAGCGGTGATGCCCAAAGGAGATGCTTGGAGCCTGAGAAACCTTTTTTTCAGGGTGATGAAATCATCCCATGGAAGGGAAGGGGGAGCTTTGAGCATCGACGTCTGCTACCTAGTTTGCTGCCCTCGGGTGGCCGTTGATGATCTGCCTTCCATAGATTCCATCTCACTGTCACTCCTTTCCACTTTCATCTGGAACACCCCGCCTGAGCTCACCCCTTATGGCAGGCAAGAACTGAAGATCGCTCTGTACTACGTATCTTCCGTGCGAGTCGCAAGGGGACTACGTAAAGGGCAAGTGCGACCTGCTGCTCGGCCCTGTCTCCCCTACCTAGGCACCTACCTAGGTATGTAGGTAATTCCGCTAAGATTGGGCACCTAAGCCTAGCGTAAGTAGAGGTAGAGGTACTTCTCGGAAAGGCACCATAACTCGGCGAGCTCCTTCCATGTCTTGAGTTGTTCCTGTCTTTTGCATTTGCCCCTTCTGGATCCACAATTCAGTTTTGTGAATTGCTGCTTTAAATTATGCACGTTTCTGTGCCTGGCTTCAATGGCAATCGATGCTTCCCTGCAAGAGGAAATCACCTCTAGTGTACTCAGCTTCTTCATCTCCAGGACCTCTGCCGTCACGAGTTTCTTATCCCACCCAGCCCCAGTCAGAGCACATGCTGTCCCTGACTGCCGGATCACCATCTCAACGGTCAAACCCCGACGTCTTCGCCTTCAGGGTCCGAATGCGAATACCCTTCAAACCCGGGATGGAACGTCACCAGTGTAAAGCCATCAGCAAAGGCCACAAAGGATCTTCAGATGTCAGCATCGGGCCGACGCGACACCATTTGTTTGCAAAAACGAGACTCCTCCCAGAAGAGGACCCGGAGGAGGTTTACCGGGGCGACTGCTCATCTTACCTGAGGCATGTGGTGGGGCACCATCTCGAGCATGATGTAGATGTGTCCATGTCGCTTTTCTTGCCTGATATCATTCATCACGGTACACCACAGCACAGTCAGGTCAGCCCTTCCAGTGTTCCGCTCAACAGTGACACCTCAGATGGGCGTGGGAGATATGTACATGGTATGTATGCGTGGGTCGAATACTACAGTATGCTGCCAGCCTAGCAAGGGTACCTACGAGGGTAACCGTCGAGCTGGAGCCTCCCCTGGTGCGGAATCTTCTGAAAAGCTTCTAGCGCCCTTCGCTAATACTTGTTAGGGTAGCCATGACGCTCCAAGGGGTTGATAGTGGAACAAGCCTCTGTTCCACGAAAGCTTCCACGCAGTAGCCCGCGCACAAGGGGCCCGAAGGTGCCTCCGGGGCTCCGTTAGCCATGTCGAACGCCTCATCCTTCCATCGTAACCAATGCCATAGAGAGTCGGTCGAACCATTTCCAACCCATGGTGCCCGTACTTCGAGGGGCGTTGCACATCGAACGACCGACCATTGCGATTCCGTTAGAGTGGCTGTGTTCGTCACTGTACACACAGTTCAGGAGTGATGCTGGAATTGATGCTACCTCTGCACTGCAGCCACATGTTTCTCCTCGTTCGGCACCATTACTCCTTTCGGCACTTCCCCAGCTTGACAGTCTATCAGATGCCTTTTGAGATCGCCTCAACGGCGTCGCACGTCCCTCCGAAAGAAATGAAGGCCCACGGCATTATTACGGCGAGAGAGCCTGGTTTCCACCACTTGCGACAATAGCGGATTTGAGAGCGGATATACGAACACATCACCTCATTCCGAACACAGGCTCGGTCTTTTACTCTACACTATTACGGAACAAAATTCCGCTCAAAATGTCTGCTGTGGCCAGTACGGCAGTTTGCAGATGGACGTACCGTTTAGTCGATCATCGCCGGCCACCGGCAGCCTGGCAACCAGTACAAGCTTGACTTTCTGCCGCACTGCTGACCATTCAGCCAATTGGCATGATTCCGGTCCGCTCTGCTGACTTTAAACTCATGCGCTTCGCCTAAAGTCGCCTACAGTAGGTATGATTCTTGCGTCCTACCTAGCCTAGCGAGCAAAGCTACACTACCTACACAGCGACCGCCCAACTACAAGACCGTGTACAAAAGACTTTTGAATTGTAAACATGCCCATTTGGCCGCTGAGTACCACGATACATGGAGTGAGCGGCGGTGTGAATGGATCGGCTGGGCTAAAGCTATCAAACATCCACGCCAATCAATGTCTATAGCATGACTTACTGTGTAAAGCGGCCGAGTCGTGGATGCTGGCTGTTTAGAATCAATCTTCCACCTGCCATCGTCATGGCTACTGTTCAACATAAGGTCCTGATAACTGTGCCCAGTCCACCAAGATCTCTCGCATTTGGCATATAACGGTACCTGATTACATGCAGATAGACCCACCATGCATCTACAGTGTATATGCAGGTCGCTTCAACCGGACGTGGACCTTTCCCCTCAAATGGGTCCATGCGTCTGAACTCTGCAATTCCATCACGTCAGATACGACTACACGTTTGAGCTAGTATCATTGAGCCTTGAACTAACAGCTTTTGTCACTCTATATGCAGCTGTAATCACAACTAGAGTGTGGTGCCGTTACCTGAAATCTTTGGTCTACATTTCAGCCAAAGTTCAACGTTCCCGGGAATCCGAACCTTCCAAACAATATGACATCAGGAGAGGAGCTTGGCCAAATCCGTCATATCATATCACAATATGTTAAGTCACGTATGTAATGCCGCGAAGATCTGGTATGTTGTCCAAGATGGTCCTTAGCCTCATATGCCGGTACCCGACGTCACGTCAAACCGTCGCACAGTGATGAACGCCATCCCGTTCGTAATGGTGGGGAGTGCTACCTACCTCACATACAAAAGGTGTCTTGAAACCTTCCAGTGCGTTCCCATCATCCTTTTCGATACTCATCAACCAAGTCCAGGATGTTGAGCTCTCACTACAAGTTAAGTCAAGACAAGAGATACGGTGTATGTCAAACAGGAAGAACGGCACTATTTCCCGTGGTTCGAATGTTATCAAGAGACTTTATGCGTCCTTGCTTTGTGCAACATTTGAACCTCTTCGAAACATTTCATACTTGGTAGGCCAAAAGAAGTTCGACTTCTAAGCCTAAGACCCGTCAGGATATGCCATCAAAGCAAGTGCCTCTAACTGGGGGTGCTACTTATGCTTGCTTCCTCCATCTGGAGTTCAGTTGTAACCTCCAAAGACATAAAGTAGACTCGACAGTCCCCAGCCAATCCTAGTACTATTGTACCACTATAGGTAGGCCTTCATGAGTTTTCGACTTACGCTTCCACCCTTTCTTCATTTCCCTTGCGTTACTAGCCGTCCATCCGAGCCGTTAAAAAACGATACTCCTCCTTCTTGGCCGTAATCCGCTGCGCCCACCAGTATCACTCAACGTTGCGCCACAAGGTTCCTTTTCAGTTTCTTGGGGGTGAAGGGGGGGTGGTTTAGTTAGCCAAGAATCCACTTATCACCATTTGGAATTTACAATACCTTGAGTCCACCCTCCAGATACGGTTGGAAGGATGGTCAAACATCATCAGTATTTATTCGTGTCATTGGCGTGGAGTCCTCGGTTTGCTTTCTTCAAAGGCACAGATGGTACGTTGTAGAATGCGCAGTGAAGGTGAAGAAGCACAGCTATCCATACTGTTTAACGGTGACGAGATCGACCGTCACAGCAACCGCCCGCCCGCATGGCTCGCAGTGCACGGGAACGAACACACAGGAACTTCCAGATTTGTAGGTACGCTCGGCGGGATCGAAGCATCATGCCTGCAGAAAGAAGTACAAGTGTTTGCTTTACCCAGCCAGTATTTTCCCCCTCCTCAAAACTGAATCCAGTGGTACACATGCGCAAGGATATATATCCCGGAACTTTGAAGAGTTCATCACATGTTTCCAGTCAGCCAAGCAGTGAACAATGTCAGTGCTTGATGAATTTATCTTCAATACTTCGTTTCCCGTCAAACCTGTTGAGTGCCTCTATGTAATTAAAGGAAAAAGAGATAAAACGGTTTTGCAATATCAAAACACATAGCTTGATGTGACCAATCACATTTGAGATCTCTACCTCTTCCTCAACAGGCAGAATATTACCACACCTTCCTGTCTAACCGCACCACCCCACACCACACTATATAACCACCTCGGAAGAAAAATGATATTTGGCTTGTATAAAAGGTAGTCTACCTAACAAGAATACGTATCCTCATTATATTTCTTCTCTTGGCACACAACGAAAAGTTTATTACATAGGTAGTCTCTCGATCGAGATGCAAACACTACTATTTACTATCCCATCTCAACACTTGGGGACATTTGTTTTTCAGTGATCGCATTGTACTACGGTGGTGTACAAGCAAGATCACAGTTTAGGAGACAATCAGCTAGTTAGTAAGGATTCGTCGTGGATTGAAGAAGAAGATGGAAATCAAGGAGAGACTAAAGAGAAAGAGAAACAAGTAGATTAAAGGACAAAAAGAAGAGAAATTCCACCCCCCCCTCAGCCCCTACGGAAAAAAAAAAAAAAAAAAGAAAGAAAGAAAGGGAGAAAGAAAGAAACAGAGCACGGAAAATAACAAGGAAGAAAGAAGAAAAGTTAAACGGAGGGAAAAGTTCAAGACAGGGAGAAAAGAGAGAGAAGGGAAGGGAGTAAGAAGAAGAGAGATAAAGAGAGTAAAAGGCAAAAAGACCCTTTTGCGTTGTTGACCGTTGACGTCAGCTCAGCTCACTCAAGCCATGTCAGTTGATACCGACTAGGAGGATGACTCGCTGTTTGTTTCGATTCAACAATACTAGTATCATTTCATAACCCGTTGACAGGCAAGGTAGGTAGCAGGTACCCTAGATATCGAGAGCAACGACTAAAAGTTTACAAAAGTCTCAGTAACCCCCGAGACGAGTCAAGAAGAATGAATGACAAAAGACCAAGCGACACCATGCATGCATGTCTACTATTTAGTAATAGTACTCGCTGAATAACATAACATAATATGATATTAGAGTTTCGCTCTTCCTCCATCTTTGACATTCACACATTTCCTCAGCGAGAGCGCATTCCTCTCACCTCACCGAGCCACACCAACCCAAACCACCCAGTGATACCTTGCCTCACCGAGCCACACTAACCTATGCACAGTGACACGTAAAGGCTTCAGATGCCGCTCAGTACTGTACTGATCCGGAAACCCAACCCGATAATGTAACCATACTGACTTTTCGGAGATTATCAAATGTCATCATGACTTGCCCCTTCCCCCTCCCTCCTTTCATATGTAGATGCACATAAGAGCGAGAGGGTATCATTCACCACCACCGTCGTCTTTGTTTAGGTTACAATCAATCCCCCGTCTTGTGCCGGGCTTGCGTGTCACCATTGCTGCAGCAGCAGCAGCAAGAAGAAGTGCGTAGTCGGCCCGGTCCAGGGAGATCATAACAAATTAGCCAGGAAAGGTGGTGGGTGGAGGCTGAAACAACCCCCGAGGCCCCGAAGCCGTGGTTTTGTAGGAAGGTGGGTGGGCAGGGTAGATAAGCCGGGAGAATCTCAACCAAAGACGATAAATGCACGGACGGTATGTATACATATAGAGTACAAAAATAACGGGGAATCAGAGAGTGCGCTGATAATCAAGCCTATCGGTAGGCTCCATTTTACTTTTCCTATTGCTCCGTCCTCGGCGCAACAGCAGTCAGAGGTGTTGCTGCTTCCACTTCTGGCAGCAGTGATACATCTCCCGCAGCAGCTTCTGGCGACTCTGATACTTGGGCTTCGGCAGCACTGCCATCGTCAACAACTTCAACGTCCACGGCATGCTGATTCTCAGGAATCTTGATCTCCAGGACATCAGAGTGGTCGTCCGTTGTTACGTCGTCAACGGTCACAGCGTCGGTGGTATTAGCAGCGACAGCCTCGGTGTCATCAGGCTCTATCACCTCCGGTTCTACCTCCTTCACCCGCTCCGCCTCAGGTGTCGCCTCTGATTCGGGTTCCACTTCGGTGGCCTCGTCACCACCCTGCGGCTTTTCTTGGAAAGTAAAGGCATCCGATAGGTTAACCGCCAGAAAAGTCTTGGGCAGTTTTACTCTGAATGAGGACGATGAGTGTCAGTTATAATCCTAGTACCATGGTATATCAAGTTCAGGTGGGCAAAATGACTTACTGGTGGAACTTCGCCCTCAACGTCTCAATAACCTTGATCCAGTCTGTATGAGCCGTTAAGCTCCTGCGCGGAGCACAGCCAATGCAATGCTTGCTGTCAAGCTGTACATCCAGCGGGTCAAAAACGTGACAGCCAGGGCTGATGGTAATCTTGATGCTGTAGTTAAAGGCAGGAATGCCATCCGCATCAGCTGGCGGGTCAGCTGGCATTTCGTACAGCTCGAACGAGATCTGCGAGAGGTAGTCGAGCTCAGGGATGGTAGCTCGCTTGATCTTGGTCTCTAGGCCGCCCTCCAAGATGCAGTTCAGGAGGGTGTAGATGTGCGACTCCTTGGTGAAGTATATGAAGGACTTGGCTTCATCCGAAGCCTGCATTTCCTCAAGGTCCTTGACAATCTCCTTCAACAGAGGGAGAGAGGTCAGGAGTCCAATTTCAAGCTAGGCAATATGTTAGTCATTCATTCCAGAATAGGAAAGCCATTTTTGAGACGGGGCGCTTCTCACCTTTTCGCTGTCCGAGATACCATACTCCTGTGGGCAAATAAAGTCAAAGAGGACCTTAGCAAGCTGGTACAGCTCCCTCAAAGGCTCAAAGCGAGCATCTGTCTTGGCCTTGGTCTGGCTGTTGCCCCTGTGGAGGTGGAAGTACCTCTCCGGGAGCTCCGATTCCGGACCTGGCCCAGGTCTGAACCCGTGCAGGAACGACCGCCTGCGGAAGATACGCTTGACAGCCTTTGAGTCAATCTTTTCTGCCAACGAGCTCTCAGTGGGTTTGGAACCTTCATTATCGGTGCTCGAAACAGGGGACGGTGACTTTGCATCCTTGCTTCCATTAGGAGGGGCCAGGATTCCGTAGTCCTCCTCAAGCATAGTCTTTGGTGGAGTAAACACCCATTCGAGGAATTGACGGTTGTGCAGGGCATCGAACTTCATGGTATCGTAGAGTTCCGAAATCTTGCTAGGGTCAACCTTTTCGCCGTCGCAGAACTCGGCGAACAGCTTCTCCCAACGCTCCTTGAACAGCTCGGCGTCCTCACCACAGCACCATCTGGCCTGGATGCTGTTCACCGCGTTCACATGTGACGAGCCAAGTGACGACAGCGACGAGCTGGA